TATAGAATAAATCTGATTGTCAGATATTGTAATATTTGTGAAAATCAATGCATACAGGGAACTAAAATATAGATAAATTGTACAAAATAACAGCATGTGATAGCACCATATAGGACATAGAAAACTTAAGATGAACAACACATAGGACAACATACATGACATAAAGGGCTCCTAACTAACATGGCATTAAAGGCTCCTGTTGTACAGGACATAGAGGGCTCCTAATGTACAGGACAGGTCAACACAAAGGACATAGAGGGCTCCTAATAAGAATGTACAGGACATAAAGGGCTCTTAACAAACATGACATTGAAGGCTCCTGTTGTACAGGACATAGAGGGCTCCTAATGTACAGGACATGTCAACACAAAGGACATAGAGGGCTCCTAATGTACAGAACAGGTCAACACAAAGGACATAGAGGGATCCTAATTAGAATATACAGGACATAAAGGGCTCCTAACAAACATGGCATTGAAGGCTCCTGTTGTACAGGACATAGAGGGCTCCTAATGTACAGGACAGGGCAACACAAAGGACATAGAGGGCTCCTAATGTACAGAACAGGTCAATACAAAGGACATAGAGGGCTCCTAATGTGCAGGACAGGTCAACACAAAGGACATAGAGGGCTCCTAATGTACAGAACAGGTCAACACAAAGGACATAGAGGGCTCCTAATTAGAATATACAGGACATAAAGGGCTCCTAACAAACATGACATTGAAGGCTCCTGTTGTACAGGACATAGAGGGCTCCTAATGTACAGGACAGGTCAACACAAAGGACATAGAGGGTTCCTAATGAACAGGACAGGTCAACACAAAGGACATAAAGGCCCAACCTTGTACCGGACATATATAGAGGCTCCACATTGTATAGAACATAGAGGCCCAACATTGTACAGGACAAATAGGGCCCACATTGTACAGGACATAGAGGGTCCATATTGTACAGGACATAGAGGGTCCATATTGTACAGGACATAGAGGGTCCATTTTGTACAGGACATAGAGAGCTACTGTTGTACAGGACATAGAGGCCCCACATTGTATAGAACATAGAGGACTCACATTGTACAGGACATAGAGGGTCCACATTGTACAGGACAAAGAGGGTCCACATTGTACAGGACAAACATGTAGAGGGCTCACATCGAAAGGACATAGAGGTTCCATGTTTTACAGGACACAGAGGTCCAATGTTGTCCAGGACATAGAGGTCCCATGTTTTACAGGACATAGAGGTCCCATGTTGTCCAGGACATAGAGGACTCACATTGTACAGGACATAGAGGGCCCACATTGTACAGGACTTAAAGGCCCCATGTTGTACAGGACATGGAAGGCCCACATTGTACAGGACATAGGGGGTCCACATTGTACAGGACATAAGAGATTTACTGTCATTGAGGTCCCACATTGTACAGGACATAGAGGCCCCACATTGTACAGGACTTAGAGGCCCCACATTGTACAGGACATAGAGGCCCCACATTGTACGGGACATAGAGGGCCCACATTGTACAGGACATAAAGGCCCCACATTGTACAGGACATGGAGGGCTTCTGTTGTACAGGACATAGAGGCCCACATTGTACAGGACATAGAGGGCCCACATTGTACAGTGCATAGAGGGCCCACATTGTACAGAACATAGAGGGCCCACATTGGACAGGACATAGAGGCCCCACATTGTACAGGACATAGAGTGCCCACATTGTACAGGATATAGAGGCCCAACATTGTATAGGACATAGAGGGCCCACGTTGTACAAGATATAGAGGCCCCTTTATTTATGTCCTGTACAAAGAGGGCCCATGTTGTACAGTACATAGAGTGCCCACATTGTACAGGACATAGAGGACCCACATTGTACAGGACATGGAGGCCCCACATTGTACAGGACATAGAGGGCCCACATTGTACAGGACATAGAGGGTCCCCATTGTACAGGACATAAAGGGGCCCACATTGTACAGGACATAGAGGGCTACTGTTGTACAGGACATAGAGGGCTACTGTTGTACAGGACATAGAGGCCCCACATTGTACAGGACATAGAGGCCCCACATTGTACAGGACATAGAAAACTACTGTTGTACAGGACATAGAGGCCCCACATTGTACAGGACATAGAAAACTACTGTTGTACAGGACATAGAGGCCCCACATTGTACAGGACATAGAGGCCCCACATTGTACAGGATATAAAGGCCCCACATTGTACAGGACATAGATGGCCCACATTGTACAGGGCATAGAGGGTCCTCATTGTACAGGACATAGAGGGCCAAAATTGTACAGGACATAAAGGCCCCACATTGTACAGGACATAGAGGGCCCACATTGTACAGGACATAGAGGGCCCACATTGTACAGGACATAAAGGGCCCATGTTATACAAGACATAGAGGGTCCACATTGTACAGGACATAGAGGGCTACTGTTGTACAGGACATAGAGGGCTACTGTTGTACAGGACATAGAGGGCCCACATTGTACACAGAGGCCCCACATTGTACAGGACACAGAGGCCCCACATTGTACAGGACACAGAGGCCCCACATTGTACAGGATATAGAGAGCTACTAGTGTACAGGACATGGCAATATACATGACATAGTGGGTACTGATAAACAAGTCATAAAACAACATGCAAAACACCATTTGTAAAGGGCTCCTGAATAAAATCTAAACAATACAAAATAAGCTGGTATATACAAAGCGCTTAATAAGCATATATATTTGTACTGTACAAAATTAGCCTAGATATTTTGCTATACAAACTATTCTTGTATACATGCCTATAAAAATGAAAAAAAAAAGCCTCAGGCCTGTTTAAGAAAAAAATTCATTATAAGCCTTTTGATATAAAGTGTAAATCAGTCTGACTACAGTACCATAAATGTAAGCTTTTATATACTGTACAAAATGTACCCAGACAAATTAGCTTGTATATATATAAGTACAAAACATTTCATTTTAGAAACATTGTTCAGACATATAGCCAATAGAGTAGGCAATACAACTAGATACATGAAGGAACACTAGAAACACAGACATTTTTAGGTCACCTGAGCTTTAGCTCAAGTGACCTATTGCTATCCGTTTTCGTCCGTCGTCGTCCGTCGTCCGTCGGCCGTCGTCCGTTAACATTTTACATTTCAAACTTAAAGTCAAGTTCTGCTGGGCCGATTGAACTGAAAGTTGGTAGGAATGATCGCCTCATGGTCCTGACAAAGTGTTGTTATTTTTCGGGTCGATCAGAAATCCAATATGGCCGCCACGGCCGCCATTTTGAAAACCTATTTCAAACTTAAAGTCAAGTTCTGCTAGGCCGATTTAACTGAAACTTTGTAGGAATGATCAGCTCATGGTCCTGACAAAGTGTTGTTATTTTTCGGGTCAATCAGAAATACAATTTGGCTGCCATGGCCGCTATTTTGCTACTAAATTCTAATAGGCCGATCTCGCTTAAAATTGGTCTAGGAATGATCAGCTCATGGTGCTGACAAAGTTAAGTTAACATTATACTATTTTTTACTCAAATTGGTACATATTGCAACAAAAAAAAAAAATACTGTAGACTCAGGTGACCGTTTAGGCCCATGGGCCTCTTGTTGTTTCATTTGCTCCCATATACCTGCTTTATATCTTGTACCAAGTTTAGCAAGGCGTGAGTGAATGACGTGTGAGGAAATAAGACCATCCAAGATTGATTGGACTTTAAGTGTTTTGACTCTTACCGACACAGTAGTTACTTTGGGTGTCGGGTCTTATTTGTAGGTAGGCTGAAAAATCAATCTGCTAAGTGTTCATATCATAATGTTTAAATGTTACATCTCTGTGGGCTGAAAATAATGAATGGTTTCCTTTTTTATACAAAAACAATCTAAATCATAAGATTGCAAAAAGATCGGGAGAGACCTGATGATTCTGTAATTATATTCAGAGGAAATATGTGATGGCTGACATGTATATAACTTCATAGGGAGAAAAATTGGAAATTATTTTCAGATATTAAGTTGTGAAATCATTTAATGGGCATTTAATGAAGGAAGGCCTTGATTCAGTGTTGCATTGGAGAGAAGCTGTTATCCACAGCGTGACAGATGCTGAGGACAGAACAGCATCCAGCCAGGCACACATTAAATAGAATCTGGGTAAATAAGTGCTACTGATAATACTTGTATCAATAATGCAGCCCAAGTTGTGGACGCTGAATTTGACCTTCATCCTATTCATCATTGACTTGGTTAAGACAAAGTGGTCTAATCCATGAATTATGTTGTCAATATCTAGGTAGGGATAATTATGACATAAATTATATTTATAAAAATGTATACAGTAGTAGTGTAATGTTTGTACACTGAATACGTTATTATGTATGATATAGGAAGGCAGAGTATTGCATGCATCCTTAAAAGAGGTCAATGTGACCTTTATTTGACTTTGACCAGATCTTGTCATCTCAAGTACTAAAATATAGTGTACCTTGATAATACAGGTTTCCAGAGCAAATCTCAGCTGCTGTTTCCTGATCATGAATAGGTATCAAACTTTGTATATAAGTATATCACGGGAAAGCAGTGTGTTGCACCCTAAACTGATGTCATTGTGACTTCTGTTTGACCTTTATGTTAACCTCAAGTACTAAATACAGTGTAATACAGATTTCGGGAGCATACAGATTTCGGGAGCATATCACAACCACTTATCTAATTTTGTGTGTAGATGTTTCATGAGAAAGTCATAATGTCACATATGTATACTAAAACTATAGGTCACATAATTTTCACAAATTATTTTCTAAAAACCTTTGAAATGGCAGATTCAATTGTAATAACACAATTACATGTACATGTAGTTGATACTCTTCATTTCAGACCCTATCTAAAATTCTTTTTCGTAAGTAACCAAATAAATGCCATTTTATAAGAGCAGCTCTGTAGAGTTATGTAATGGTTACGTAACCTACGTTGGCTGTATAATGCAGGTTGATGAGATTATGGCAGTCCTGAGGTCGGCATTCCAGTCAGCTTACGAACAAAATCGCCAACAGATCTGTCAGATGTGTCCCTTACATCAGCTGCATCGACTGTGCCAGGAGATCAACAGTAAGTACAGTTTCAATCTTACTTCTCTTGTATGTTTACAAATGATCAGGGACACCAAGGAACTTTATATCAGAATTTTGTCTTAAGACATGTATACAAATCTAGAGACAAAATGATTGTTAATTGTCTGTTAATGTGTAATGTTAGACACAACACCAACGATAGTACATGTACATAGATTTTGTACTTGTACCATCAACCAAGGCAAAGCATGTTTGTTAGTCAAAGTTTGCTTGTTAAACATTAAGCTAATTGCAGTACTTAAGATAGTCACACAGAGGCTGGATTGGTCTGCAATCATCGAGATCTTGTGAGAGACTGACTTGTATGGTTTGGCCTTCAACAATTATTAGACCTTCAGGAAATATCATGTAAACCAAGTTTTATGGGTTTTTTACCATTCAGCATTTTAAGGTTGTAATGTGTTGCTTATATATATGGATGTTGTACAAAATTTTCTATAATATTAATATTGTTATACTTATATGAATTAAAATGTCAGGAGTGTCATTATGTGATATCTTCTGTACTATTTCACTAGGGATTACCCAACTTTGTACCCTGTTATGATAGAACCAGTACATTTCTGGGATTGCAGAGTCATATACTATAAGTAATTCAATATGACCTATATTTTGACCTTTGACCTATATTGTTAAAAAATATTATTCTGTGTATAACTTGAATTTCATCATACTTTAAGAGCACCAAACCTTGCAATGACAGTGTCACATATACTAGAGTTGGTCACTCTTTATTTGAACTTTGACCTTTGTCATAGTAAACAGCTCTTGCATTTGAATACCGGACCTTGTTACCAGGATGAAAGAATGTTTAATATGAATGTTATATCATTGCAACCTTCGCTTAGATTCCTGTCAGTGTTAGTTTGTGGACATCAGAACTGTGAAACTATGGCATGCGATATTGTTTGGTGATCCTAGGAACATCAAACATTTACCTAAATCAAAGCATATATCCATGTAGTGTTTTAGGATTCCTACCCTGGGGAGATCCAGACTGTTATAGATTGTGCCAATGTACTTTTCCATGTTTCATTAATAGAAAAGGCCATCATACAAAAAATAAAGATTTCAATATTGTGTATTTCTCTGTAATTGTCAAAGTTTGCGGAGAAGCATTATTGATTTGCATACGCCTGAAACTTGAAGATATTGTAAATTCTATTTGTAACTGAAAACACTTGAAGCTTTCATCTTGTTTGCAATTGACCTTCTAAAAAAGTGATGACCTTTTCCACATGTTTCTGTAACACAAATGCATGTATTTATTGGTAAATGTATTAGCTTATTAGGGAAAAGCAGATGTATGTGTCAGGGAAGCCATATATAGAATACTGTATTGGAGACAGCTCCCCAATCATTTACACAACCTATACACATGTCAAGCTAAGCTGGTGGAATTCCGGTTATCACATGTTAAAGAATTATGACTATCAATCTTCGTCTTTACGGAATACATTGAGGACTTGCTAGTAAGCCTAGCTGACGGTTCCTGCTTCAGTTACAACCTCCTTGCATGTCCATCCAGCTTTCAAGAATGATGCAAAAATCTAAAATCATGGAGACAGGCTCCACACGGTACAGGGCTTAAATGACTTTGCACCCTTGTGTAATTACAGTATTAAACATGGAGTGTGTATTCCCATCTTATTAACGCTTCATCGTATGGAGTATGCACTGCTCATCTTATCAACTTGGAATGTGCTGAGTTTTACAGCAGATCGAAATTGCAGATCTTTTCTCATCAACTACTGAGATTCACCAATGACAAATAGGAGAGAAGTTTGGGTCACAAAGAATATTTAGTTGGATAAAACAAGAAAATGAGTTGGCTGAAGTAAGACATTGAGTTAGTTACGTCAGATAGTGTTGGATCATTCCAGCAATTGAGTTGGACGTTGATCATGAGTTCACAAGAGATTGTATTGGACCATGTGACAGGTTGAGTTTTACAAGAGATTGTATTGGACCATGTGACAGGTTGAGTTGAATCACAATTAAATGAGTTGGATCACACAGCTATATAAGGAATAATATTACAGTGTGAGAAATCTAGATTGGGCTCTAATAAGAAACTGAATTGGACCTCATATTAAGCAATTAATTGAGTTGGATTGCATATGGGATTGAGTTAGAGCATATAAGGGATTGAGTTGGAATATATGAGGGACTGAGTAGGATCATATAAGGGATTCATATAAGGGATTAAGTTGGATCATATAAGAACAAAGTGGGATTATATAAGGGACTGAGTTGGATAAAAAAAATAGTTGGATCATATCAAGGACTGAGTTGGAATATATGAGGGACTGAGTAGGATCATATAAGCGACTGAGTAGGATTATATAAGGGACTGAGTTGGATCATATAAGGGATTGAGTTGGATCATATAAGGGATTGAGTTGGATCATATAAGGGATTGAGTTGGATTATATAAGGGATTGAGTTTGATTATATAAGGGACTGATTATATAATGGACTGAGTTGGATTATATAAGGGATTGAGTTTGATTATATAATGGATTGGGTTGGATTATATAAGGGACTGATTATATAATTGACTGAGTTGGAATATATAAGGGACTGAGTTGGAACATATAAGGGACTGAGTTGGAACATATAAGGGACTGAGTTGGATCATATAATGGACTGAGTAGGATCATATAAGGGACTGAGTTTGATCATATAAGGGATTGAGTTGGATTATATAAGGGATTGAGTTGGATTATATAATGGACTGAGTAGGATCATATAAGGGATTGAGTTGGATTATATAAGGGATTGAGTTGGATTATATAAGAGACTGAGTTGGATTATATAATGGACTGAGTTGGATTATATAAGGGATTGAGTTGGATTATATAATGGACTGAGTTGGATTATATAATGGACTGAGTTGGATTACTGTATATATAAGGGATTGAGTTGGATTACTGTATATAATGGACTGAGTTGGATTATATAAGGGACTGAGTTTGAATATATAAGGATGAATGTTACCATATGAAAACATATGAAAGAGATGGAGTTGGATCACGTAAGAAGTTGATTTAGATCATATATTAAGTGATTGAGATGGATTATTTAAGCTTAACCATAAACCACCTTAAAAAAGGTAAGGATATACACACTATGTTTTGGATGTTCTACAATTTTTGGTCCTGAATTTTGATTGTTCGACAGTGATCAATGAATTTCAGTGTATAATTTTTGCAGATGTCACATCCAATAATTGATGCTATTGGATTATATGTAAGTTGTAGATCTTCGTTGTGACATAGAGAATAATACATGCCTTTTTCCATATCACACCCAGTATCAACCCGAGACTGCAATATCAGCCCAAGGGCCAAAGGCCCGAGGGCTGATATTAGTCGAGTGTTGATACTGGGTGTGATATGGAAAAAGTGATGTTTAATTCTGTTTATTACATACTTACTAATAAAAGCTACTATCTTATGATAAAAAAAATCTTTTGAAATATTGAAAAACGAAAAAAAATCCAAAAGGGGTGTGATACGGGTTTTGGGGTGTGATACGGGTTTTGGGGTGTGATATGGGTTTTGGGGTGTGATATGGCTTTTGGGGTGTGATACGGCGAGGGCTGATATGGCTAAGAGCAATTGTGTCGTATCGCATATACAAAAACCCCGTATTTATTAGTAAGTATGTAATAAATACCATTATACACTATAATGTAGGGTCGTAATGGGTCATATCAGACCACACATTATCCTTATCTTTAGTTGCTTTGAACTTGTTTGCAAATTTATTTAAAAATCTTTTGATTACATTTACAAATTAAATCATGTAGCCTTATTTCAGCTTTTTTCACCAGAGTTCAGGAACAGCTAACCAAGGTTCTTTGTTACAGCTTCATGAAATATATATTTTTAAGTGATTTGTGGTGTTCAGCCTTTATGAAGAAACAGAATCTGGTGGGGGTATTATACTGAAATCACCCAGCTGTATGTGGATCTGTGTGCAGGATAGCCGCACTACTCCAACTTACTCGGTAGTGAAGCTGGTAGTGAAGCAGATCTAAAACGACTCAAATAAACAAACAGGCTGTACATGTATGTGCATTATCTGGACATGCTGTGTTTTGGGCTATAAACTTTGGTCTTTATCATCTGCTCTTTATTTTGGCATTCACAGGTCAAAGGTCATGGTCATGTTAGTTGTTACTTTAATAATTCAGATTGTACTTGGTGCTATTTCTCATCTATTTTCGTAATATTTAACAAAGTTCTGTTCTTGTAAAAAGCAGTTCCCTTGTCTGGATCTCTAAATTATTAAAGTGTCATCTTGTATAGGATAGGGCCACTGCCCAGCCTCAAGGATTTCTAAATTATTAAAGTGTCATCTTGTATACAATAGTGCCACTATCCAACCTCCAGGATTTCTAAATTATTAAAGTGTCATCTTGTATGGAATAGTGTCACTGCCCACCTCCAGGATTTCTAAATTATGAAAGTGTCATCTTGTTTAGAATAGTGCCACTGCCCAACCTCCAGGATTTCTAAATGATTAAAGTGTCATCTTGTATAGAATAGTGCCACTGCCCAACCTCCAGGATTTCTAAATTAACAAAGTTCTGTTATTGTGAATGTTGAAAACAATCCTCAAGTTTTTGATTTGAAAAGATAAATGTCCGTTCTTTTGAAAAAAAACCACCCATCCCCCCCAGGATTTTATGGCATTAATGTGGCTCTCTGTCTAAGTGTAAAAATAACTGCCTCTCCATGTCAGTGTCACGTTAATCTGACAAAGCGTTCTTATTGTTCACTCAGATCTGTCTGCCCATGATGCCTATGAACTGCTGGTGCGGAGAATACAGAACCTTCCTGAGAGGGACACGGCTCTAGTTCACAACATACTCAAGGTCAGTGTCAGCTCAGTACTCCTACACTTACACCTACACTTACACCTGCACCTACACCTACACCTACACCTACATTTACCTCTACACTATCACCTACACTTACACCTATACTTACACCTACACCTACACCTAAACCTAAACCTACACTTACACCTTCACCTACACTTACACCTACACTTACACCTACACTTACACCTACACCTACACTTACACCTGCACTACACTTACACCTACACTTACACCTACACCTACACTTACACCTGCACCTACACTTACATCTACACCTACACCTACACCTACACCTACACTTACACCTACACTTACACCTACACCTACACCTACACCTACACTTACACTTACACCTACACTTACACCTATACTTACACCTACACTTACACCTATACTTACACCTAAACCTACACCTACACTTACACCTATACTTACACATATACTTACACCTAAACCTACACCTACACTTACACCTACTTAGGTTTAGACAGTAAGTTACATCAGTTTGATGGCACTCTGAACTAACACTTCATTATGACATTGATTCATCAGCTCTACATTATTGTACGATCATGTATTACTAGAATTTAGGCCCTCCTTTATTCATGGCATTTCAAAAGAATTGGATTTTTATGGGTATATTGATTTTTACTACTGATGGGTTTTTAATGTGTTGTTGCAAATTTTTCACATTGTTTTCACTAACCATGATTGCTTTCAGTTATTTCAAAGGTCATAGTTCAAAATTTACATAATTATTTGATTGCTTTCACATGTTGAAACTAGTGGATTTTATTCCGGTTTTTGTGTTGTCGTGACAAAGGTGTTAAAGGGCTCAAGATGTCTCAGTGTTTCTTCCTCTGAGGTAGGATGCAATTTAACATCACGGTAAAAATCACAGATAAAAGAACGCCAATTTCTTTTTGTGCATATTTAGAAAGGATTCTGATTTAAAGGATGCTATTGTATGTTTTTAAACCCATTTCATAAAACATGAAATGCATGTATTTCACACATTAGTGATGTTTTTTTTTTTTTTTTTTTTTTTTTTTTAATATTGAAAACCCTCTTGTAAATTGTTTTGTTATCCCTGTTCCATGAATACTATTTCCGTTGAGTAAAGTTTTAAGTGTCCAGGTTTGGTTGTACAAAAACATCAGCAACTACTACAATTTTTATCAGGATTGATGCTACAACAACTCTCATTACAAATACTATTATATTCCAGGCCTGGTGGATAGAGATTGTAGTTGAACAGTATCCTACAGAGTTGTTGCGATGGAATTGCTAGAAAAACATTTTTTCTCTCCCATTCAGGACTGACATCTTTGTGTTTTGTTGTGGGAAAAGTACAGCTGCATCCGTGATTTTAAAGTTATTGTAGGTAAACCTGAATACAGTCACAGTGTAATTCTGTATTAGTTTCTACAGTAATTAGTCTTTATAACTGGAGTGTTAATTGTACCATTCCAGATTGAGAATCCCCAAAGCTATGATGAGATGGTGGAAGTTGTGATGATTGGTCTCAGAAAGCTGTGTGAGAATAAACAGAAAGAGCACTCCCATATCTCAGACAGCAAGATGGCTCACAAAACAGAGGTAAGGGAAGACAACTGTATTACCAACCAAATACTTCCATGTATCGGACATCAAAATGACCCAGAGAACAGAGGTAAGGGCAGACAACTGTGTCACATACCAAACACTCCTATATATCTCAGAGCAAGCTAAGATTGCCCACAGAACAGAGGTAAGGGCAGACAGCTGTGTCACATACCAAACACTCCTATATATCTTAGAGCAAGCTAAGATTGCCCACAGAACAGAGGTAAGGGCAGACAACTGTAACAAATACCAAATGCTCCTATATATCAGATAGCAAGCTATTGGCCGACAGAACAGAGGTGAGGGCAGACAACTGTGTCACATACTAAACACTCCTATATATCTCACAGCAAGCTAAGATTGCCCACAGAACAGAGGTAAGGGCAGACAACTGTAACAAATACCAAATGCTCTCATATATCAGATAGCAAGCTATTGGCCGACAGAACAGAGGTAAGGGCAGACAACTGTGTCACATACCAAACACTCCTATATATTTTTGGCAGCATGATTGCACACTGAACAGGGTAAGGGCAGACAACTGTGTCAAATACTAAACAGATCACAGATCTGAGGTAAAGGAAGATAAGTGTGTCACATACCAAACACTCCCATATATCAGGCAGCAAGATGGCTCACAAACAGAGATCTGGTAGGGGCAGACAACTTGTTACAGAAACACTCCCATTTCTTAGACCATGGTCAAAATAGGAATACAGGGCAGATATAAGGACAAAATACAGTTAGCATTTATAACATTAATACAAGTACAAAAAAGTAAGGGTTTAGTTTCCTATTTGAATATGAAGAGGTATATGAGGTCACCTACTTGACTGTATAGATTTTCAGAACTGTGTTCATGTGTGTGTTTCTCTCGGGACAAACACGAGTCATACAATTTGTAATTGTTATGTCATATAAAATAAATAGTGTTCACTTTTTTAGCTTGTCTATTCGAAGAATAGGGGGGCTATAGTAGTACCAACGGCGTTGCTGTTGCCATCCCACTTGGTTAAAGTTTTTGGGAAGCTGTGTATGGTGTTTTAACTTTTAGTTAATTTTTCATTGTAATTTGGTTGCAGCAATTGCCTGGAGTTTCCTTAGCAACAAATTAAACCCTATTTACTCATTATTGGTCCGAAACACAAGTCTTTTGGAATTAATTAAAGTTTTTGGGCAAGTTCCACAGGTAAACGTTTTAGGGCAAGTTCTAGTTCTTTTGAAACTACTGGGCAGATTTCAACCAAAGGCAGGAAGCATCCTTAGGGGAAGGGGATTCAAGATTGTACATATAAAATACCTGACACCCCTCCCACATATCTGATCAAACATAATCATGAGTTCTACATTCTAAAGCAAATTATTTTAGCATATGGCGATGGGGTGGGGGTAGGGGTACTTGAGGGATAAGGGGTAAAAAACTTTTTCTACACAGTTTGAGGTAGGAACTTGGAAACTTTTAGACATGGTACATTTATGTACGGAGCCGGGCCAGAGTGGGTGGGGATCAAATACTTTAAAAAAAACACCTTTTTGATGTGCTGCAGGAAAGACCTGTCACAGATGACAGGGAGATACTATGGAATATGCCGTTGTAGATTTCTCTGGCTGTTCATTCTGTCATGCTCACTATGTAGCTATAAGCAGGGTCACAAAACTAGAAAATCTATGTGCTATTCGAATTGACAAACAAGTTGTCTAAGAAATACAGCGACTACGGGGTGAAGCAATGTTGCTTGAGAACAGGACACCTCAAAATCTTTATACTACTGACATTTTATTCCAAAAGGTTAGATCATTACACAAACACATACAGGACATTAAAGTTGATCACAGATATATGTGTTTTGATGTCATAATGTTTGCAGAATGCAAATTTACACAAACTGAACATAAACAATTCTACAATTTTCCAGAATATAATCATCACAGTTTTGTGCCAACATTTAGTTCTACTCGAACAACTCCATATGGACTCATGGTTTATGTGAGAGAGAAAAAAGCTCACTATTTCAAACTTACAAGTCTAGCAGAAATATTAATAAAACGTGTATAGAAGCTGTATTATTTGACATTGCAACTGACACTACACCATTTACAGTCGTCACACTATATGCATCATCAGCATGTTCTAAAGAACTGGAACTTTTTTTGAAAAATGTTCAGAAAACATTACAAACTAAGAAACACTCATTTGTCATTATGGGAGACTTCAACATTGACTTGCTCAGACAGCAACACTGTAACATATTTGGTGTCTATACATCAACCTGAGTATCGTTTCACATGGAATACTGGAATCCCATTTCTCAGACCACAAAGCTATATTTTGTGACCTAAAGAATCAGTAGGAAGTACACACAGCATCAGTGAATGCTAAATAAAACGATAAACAGGTTATAGATATGTTTAAATACATGTGTACACACACAGTGTAGACGCATAACAAGTGTTGAAATTATTATACCTGTGTACTCACTCACAGTGGGTAACTGTTAAAAAGGTTTAAATGGTTCTACATGAATACACCTTGTAAACTCAGGTCACAAGAGCTCTACATAGACACAGTGTAAAATGGAAAAAGAGCTAATGAATTATACAATAATGAATTACCTGTACATATGTTGACACAATGAAATAACAGCCAATGTTGAATGGCTCGCTGTAATTTTGTCCATTCTTGGTCTTTCTGTTTACCTTATATTTTTAGTCTCTAGCTATCATACCTATTTTTCCTTATATACTTTTTAAACTGTTGTGGTGCTACAAATTGTTATGCTAAAAGTCTCATAAATTATTTCAATACACTCCTTTTTAAGCCGAAATGTTACAAAATTGCATATAACTTGCTGTAGGTTGATGGTTCCCTCCAGGTATTCAACTTTCCTCCAACAATAGTACTCTCTGTAAATGACAAATGTGTTTGTGTTGATCAGACATTAAAGACAACGTTTAAGCCTAAAAAATAAAAATAAAAATCCTCTGTGATTATGATATAAAGCCTTGAAAACAGTTACTGACATGGGGTTTATAAAAAACCTAATTATAACACAACAAGTGATGGCTTATTAGGCAATAGATCTAGACGAGCTGTGCTGTTCTCCGACAGCTCTTGTTAAACCCAACATGTCAGACAGCATAATGGCACACCACAGAACAGAAGTATAGATATCTTAACTAGGTAGCATACCAAACATTCTTATATCTGTATAATATACATCATAATCACACTTCTCTATAAATGGTAAGTATCATCTTTGATTTGTTAAATTGGTGTTGTGCCTACTACTTAGTGATTTGTTGATCCGGTGTTGTACATACTACTTAGTGATTTGTTGATCCGGTGTTGTACCTTAACTACTTAGTGATTTGTTGATCTGGTGTTATACATACTACTTAGTGCTTTGTTGATCCGGTGTTGTGCCTACTACTTAGTGATTTGTTGATCCGGTGTTGTACATACTACTTAGTGATTTGTTGAACCGGTGTTGTACTTACTACTTAGTGATTTGTTGATCCGGTTTTTGTGCCTACTACTTAGTGATTTGTTGATCCGGTGTTGTACCTTAACTACTTAGTGATTTGTTGATCCGGTGTTGTGCCTACTGCTTAGTGATTTGTGATCCGGTGTTGTACATACTACTTAGTGATTTATTGATCCGGTGTTGTACCTACTACTTAGTGATTTGTTGATCCGGTGTTGTGCCTTCTACTTAGTGATTTATTTGCCTAGGGTTATGTCTATTACAGGATGCTTCATCTAGCAATTAAATGGCTTTATTTTTCGAAAATGAAGAAAAAAATATTTGGAATATCTTAACAATTTCAATAAAAATATTGCTACTGTGCCTGATTCATTGAAGAACGGGTTGCTGAAAAATTACGATATATTCACACTGCTTAGGTACTCTGACTAGATTGGTGTTTGATCCGAAGGTTATAATGTTAACAGAACATTGTGAGGAGGTATTGAGAAGGTAAAGGGAGAAAACCCTCTCCCACCAACCACAGAGTTAAAACAGGAAATGATGACTAAGCACTTCGACATAAATTTATTAGTGATATAAATGTTGATGACAAAACGAAAGCAAAGTAATGACAATAAAGTTGTACTCCTTATATCTAATTGTATTTATAGTATTGTATATATTTATGTGAGAAGGAAAGGATATGAAATATCTGTTAGAGATACTGTATATATTTCATATAAGGTATATTACATAATTAATTATATCGAGACTACATTATGAATTCTGAGCTTAAAGCCAGATCTGTTTACCATTTATTATATCAATTGGTTTCTCCCATTTCCCATCACATACCATTACAGTGTGATTCTGGAACTGAGCCCTTAGATCCAATAACATTTTGTAATATATCTGATATTTCTCAAATGGCCAGTATTCAAATTGTGATCTAGTTATGTCTATAATTTATTTTCAGTTCAATCTACTAGAAGGCAAGGGGAAGGCAGCACTGGCATTGGATAATCTGAAGAACCGCTGCAAGAAGAGTCTGGCTCACTCCTTTGATAATTTACTGGCAAGTGTACATGTAGTATAGTATCACTACCTCAAATACACTAACACACCTGTGAGGATTAATTAAGTAGGGTGCTGTAGTATCTATAGTACATATTATGAACTAATACACCTTTACTTATGTGAGGATTGATTAGCTAGGGTAGTATAGTAAATACGAGTGTAATACTTATCAGTTTCTGGTGTTCCTCCATTCATCTATAAGAAATCTGATGAGTTTCATATTTCTTAGTTTGAGCTTCCTGCTACCTTCCTAGAAAAGCTTTAAAATGTATTTCTGAAATATTTTATTTTTTCTTATTGAACATTCTCAAACTTACATTAACCATCAAAGAAATATTGAGTTCACCATCTATGATTTTTACTATCATTATATCAAAGGAACAAGGCATTTGAATCTGTATGGTAGAAATGATATTCCAACTGACTGTTTATGTGTCAGCTTGACCTGTGTGTGTGGCCTTGACATTGGAATCACCATTGAATAATTAGATATTTCCTTTCCCTAAGATTGATATCTTTAAAGGTGACCTTGACCTTTACAGGGCAGGAAGAAAGACGAGGCCAGGGAAGCGTTCAGACAGAGAAGTGGAACGGCAGACAGTGACAGCAGCATGACCCGCTCAATGGTAACAGCCTGTCTCCGGCACTTTACATACAGTCATAGCAGTCTGTGTTACATAGGACTAAGACTGACCAGTTCTCACAAAAAGAGGATCATTTATGATAACTACAATCCGACCTTAATATTCAAATTACACTGTCAAAATGGCTGCTATCCTGAATCTGGTTTGTAGGAAGCATGTAAAATCTTTACCTAATAAACTTAGCGTTTTACTTTTACAGAAACTGCAATATGGAGAGAAGTAATTTTAACAAGTTTTCATTTTTTAAATGACATAATTTTGCTGGAAGTTTTTAAAAAGATTCAGAAACAAGCAACTGAGATTATGTTAATCTGTCTCTAAAGTGTTTTTGACTACATGGAAATAAAGAACATAGCTATGTAAGGACATGTTGAAAGCAATATATACCACACATGTCTTCCTAGCTATGACACTTCAGACAATGCTCAGTGGTTGTGTGGATGTACACATCTCCACTCATATATGTGTGTGTATATGTCTGCATAATTTACCTTTGCTATGTGCTTTGGCTGTGGTATTTAAAATGTAGTTTGGCTTGTATCACAGCATCTTTACCAGGCATGACATGAAGATGGTTTTGGTTGTAAACTCCTGTTTGAGTTTTGTAAAATAAAAAAAGGCCTTTGTTCTGAAAGCATATATAAAATGTATTAAAAAATATCAACAATTAAGATTTTTATATTTGATTTCAGGATTCCTCAGCAACATCCACACCTGAGGCTTCACCAATGCCATCACCAGCATTCACCAAAGACGTCCACTTTCAGTTTCCAACGGGACCCCCTGTTCCAGTGGAAACCACTCCCCCTTCGTCTCCTAAATTAGGACGTCCACGCAGCTCCACTGTCGGAGCCATGCCAGATGCTACCCTCAAGTCCCGCTACAACAACAAAGGTCACTTAGAGACCCCGCAGGAAGACTTCAAACAGCATGCCTCACGTAGGGCTAGTACCAACAGTCCTATGAAGCAAATGTAAGTTAGCAGGGCTGGGACCAAAGGGGTCGGGGACACAGGAGCTTTGGCAACAAGGGCTGGAATCATGGAGATGGAACTGCAAAGATTTGGATCACAGGATATATATAGAACCGTAGCTATATATAGATAGGAGTTGGGTTGAGATACTGGGATCATTGTCATAAGACACAGGATTACAGGGACTGGGTCAATAATCTTAGAGGTTAAAACAATAGGAGCTAAGATTATTTGTGTTTGATTATGGGTTTTGTTATTAAATAAAGACTGCACTGGCTTTGGATCATCAAAGTTTTGACTACAGGGGGTGTTAATGAAGAGTTGAGAATGGGAAATAATGTAGGCTTTTGTGCTAGTTGTACTGGTATCCTGTGATTATTGACTCCAACACATGTACTTATAATTACATCATTAATACTTATCTATCAGGTTCCTGTTTGTGGGGAGTGGATCTAGACGCAATACCCCTCCATCCTCCACAGACACCAACGGAACCCCCCACAACTACACCCCTAAGCGACGCGGCTCCTGGAGGCAGGCTATCTTCAACAGAGTTGTCACCCCTGCCCGGGCCCCCATCAGTCCAACACTGCCTGGTATGTTCTGTTACAATATTGTCACACTGACATGACTGTAAGCAAAAGACAGTTATATACACACCAGCTAGCTTCTGTCTAAAAATAGAAAACAGATTGACCAGACTAACAAAACACCACTGTCACTGTAATGAGTAGTGGACAACAATGGAATGACCAGACTAACAAAACACCACTGTCACTGTAATGAGTAGTGGACACAAAGGGATGACTAGACTAACAAAACACCACTGTCACTGTAATGAGTAGTGGACAACAAAGGGATGACCAGACTAACAAAACACCACTGCCACTGTAATGAGTAGTGGACACAAAGGGATGACTAGACTAACAAAACACCACTGTCACTGTAATTAGTAGTGGACAACAAAGGGATGAC